GAAAAAGGCGCAAGTGGCCGAGCGACACCGAATCGCGAACGCTACGGGGAGCGCCGCCGTTTGTATATAGACCGTCGCAGACCGATTAGTCCGAATCTGACTTCGACGCTATCCGTTATCCCGTAAATAAACCGCTAATATTGCACCGGAAGGCCACGCGAAAATCGAAACTCGACGCTGAATATAAACAACAATATAAGAAAAAAGAAAACTCGTGAACCGCGTTCGTGAATCTCGTGGTGGCTGTTCTTAACCCAGCGCGTCTGTCTCAGGGGAGTTTTGACCAGAAACCCCAGCCATGTAAACCAGTCGGACTATGCGACAGAGATGGCGACTGGGGAGCATGCAAGGGGCATTGCAGAAGTACGGGATTTTCGTGGAGAGGCGAGGATAGGACGAAGGGAGATTTCGCGAACTTCGAGGGTCTTCTCCAAGTCTGGCTCCGGGCTGGTCTCTCCAGGAACAAAGGAACAGCCACACGAGAAGTGGGCGGATGAGTCAGCTGGTAATGGGTTTGTTGCGGTGTTGCGCCACTTGTGGCTGATTGGTTTGTACATGACTCGGTTTGATTGGTCTGAGAGAATTGCGGGGTAGAATTGAGATTGGATTGAGATTCGAGGTTCGATATTCGATATGTTGAGATGGACTGTTCGTGAGAATAGAGTATCATAGAATATGTCTGAAATGCGCCTAGATCTGTGTTTACTCGGTAGTTGGAAAGAAGTTCAAATGCAAGGTCGGCAAAAGATGGGCAGTAATTGAGAAACGTATAGCCCAGTTGATGCTATCAATCATACCCAACACTAACTAGAACAAAATATGTGGCCGTCATTTCCTAAAAGTCGATAATTGTGACTATGTGCTACTGCAACCATAATCCCTTTGGCTCGGTTCGAGTCTTTCAACATCGCACGGAGCATCAGGAATATATCCCCGCAATATATCCTGCAAAGATATCTAGAACCAGTGCCTACCACCTTTGCTGAAACTACAAAATCTATTCTTCTAAGTTAGCTGATATGAAAAACCACGGCACGTCAAGATAAAAGGCATCTTATTCAGCATGGAATTTATTTTTAATCCCCTACATGTTATAATGCAGCATACCCCAAAGTCCAAAGTTGCACAACATGAACCACATATCATGCCATATGATGTACATACTCTCTGTGCTCTGCTGTCTCGCAATATACAGCATGCTGACCGCTATAATGACTCATTTCAATATATACGCATCCAGGAATACATTCCATGCGCTAAGCGCTGACAGGGAATCGCCTTGTCGCTTATATTGAAATCGTATTATAGCTATGCCTACATCATCTACTAATATGCGCCAAATTTGTCTCCAGAACAATAAGAATATTCCGAGATGACTAGCGCGAGACATCGAAATGCACTATGAGGTATCACTTGGATATGCTTGGAATATCTCCCGCGCATATCACCGAGTCAGCAATGTAACCTACCAAACTGCACTGAACGAGTAGTAACGCCGAGCCAGGCGTACATAACTACTGTACAAAGTGGGTCTAGCCCTATTCCGTATTGCCAGTATTAGGTAAGGGCACAGACGCAGCGTACAATTGAGGAATAATGTGATGCTTTGATGCCCAACATACTGGGTACCCCATACATCGTATTGTAAGCTGTGCATAAGTAAGTGATTCTAGGTAGTAGGCCCGTCTCCAGTGGTCTCAATTCATTTACGATTGATCCGCACTAGTTTACAACCGATGAAGATACCGAATACGATATCTTTTGCAGCAAGAATATGTGATAGAAGTAGTTACAGAAGCATCAAATCGAGTTCTCCTGAAAATCACACCAAGTCAATGATCATCACACGCAAATGTGGCAATAGGCTGGTCATGTACGAAGTAGTGCGTATGTTGGCGCCTGCCTAGGATGAAGTACAGTACTTTGAAAAATTGATGCCTCCATGTACGCAGTGCCTGGATAGGTAACTGAACTCCTTGAAGGATCATTGCAACCTGTTAAGCGTCAGCTACTGCAGAGCCGGGAACAATGGCCTGCGCAAGCCGGAAGTTGGATTTACTTTTTCCAGTCAAAATTTGCAGAGCGATGGGGAAACTCATCACTTTCACACAGGGGTCCACAGCCAACGAACACGGGGCATCACACTGCCCATCAGCCCTCATCCTAAACAAATCAAATTCTATTGGATAGAACGGGGCTTGTCCTCGCCAATAAACTGCAGTAACCGGCTCCATCGGACTTATTCTCATACGGTAGGTGGGTTTTGCCGTCACTCTCATGCTATTTTGGTCACGGCCGTTAAGTATTCGATACGGAGTGTGCCTTTTGCCGGGATAGACCTGCACATAGTGCGGAGTACTTGTGTCAGATTGTTGTATTCGTAACGCAGTCCTGATGACGATGGAGAATCGAGTCTGTCATCTTGACGGTGATTGGCGACTCAGCCAGAGCATGACCGTCCTCCCCACGCTGTGTAAGGGGTTTCGCTGAGTTGTTATCGGACGTGAAGCTGATGCAAACTTATCATTTCTCGCCCGAGTGTTTCGCCTTGCGTGATCCGTTTCCGGGGTCTTGCATGCAGACAGGTATTTTGTTATCGACACTGATGTTGGCGCCAAATCAAACGACTGAGACTGTTTCTTTCCAGAAAGTCTGAGAACAATATTGTGATCACATCTCCTGTGACGTGTAGAGCCTTCGGCGCGAAGACTGACGAATGTTCCCTCTGCCATCAATACGAGAGATCTTCACGGAGGTAATAGCCAAGACGAGCTCGAGTAGGCAGGCGCGTACCCCGTATTCCGTACTTTTACGGCTCAACTAAGAATCCAGTACACATCGAGACCTTCGCAGAGGTATGAGACAGGGATGCTATCCCAAGCATGCTGGACTGGATGCTGATGATGTTGTAATATGGGCAAATCCCGAGATTGCCGTCTAAATTGACAGCTCATCCTGTCAGAAAAGCGATATGGGACCGTAGTATTCTTTCAGGCATCATCGATTGTTCGGGCATGTTTGTGATCCCATGCTTTGTGTAGACGACTCTTAGAACAGTCTTGATTGAGATGGTACGTAGGCGCCAGGCGCATATTAACCTAGCAAGGGAAAAGTAAAGTAAAAACGTGATGACAGCCAGGCCAATTCGCTAGGACCAACAGCACTGATTATCCGGTAGTCTGTGCAGACACGACTCGCAGGCCGGCTAATCCTGGACCGTGCAGACGCTGAATTCACGCATACCATTCTGTACTGATGCTGGAGGGAAGTTCCGCATTGATGCAATGGAAGCGGTCTGTTTGCCTGAACGAGAGAAAGAGAGATGTTATGTTGCCCTGACGTCAGGTGGCCAGAACTGGAGATCTCAGCATCCGTGTATGTATCGGTAAATTACGTACAATAAGTTACCAGTATTACCAGTTTGATACCGTACTTGTACTTTGTTGCTTACAAAACCTTCAACCAGTCCAGAATTATCCATCATTTGGTTTCGCGCTAGGCTACGTATAGACGGTTTCAGACCAAGTGGTTAGAAGGAGAGTGATAGATGCGATGGATGTATCGTAAGTGACATGACCGGTCAAGCTTTGGGGCACGTGGGGTGGGCCAGATCAGCCCCAATCGGGGGGAGACCTTAAGGTTTCTGGTACTCGACCTCATTTGCGAGATTTTTTTATAGGAATATCATTGTACTCTGTATGGACTCTGAAGTGAGCACTACCGGTGTGCATCCATGGGATATATACTCGTATCAATGCTGAAGATTCTTTGTAACGCGTCTCGAAATGATGCAGAAAAAGACAACGAAAAAAAGAAACGAGTCTGAGTGGGGTTTAGCGCATCCCATTCGGTTTCCTCTTACTCTGTACGAACATTTGTACGGGATAGAGTTAAGAGGAAAAGTCTGTAGCCCAAGTCTGCCCTACTTTCAAGTACCGTGTCGACTTTTCTCGAAATACTCGAAATAGCTTGATCTTTGCCCTGTAACCTATCATGAGAGAAGTTTGGATACCCCATCCGAGTTGAATCAGTGCGCAGATGGTCCGACGCCCGTGACAAAGAATTACCCGAATGGGGAAAGCAACCGAGACTCCGGTCACGGACCACATCACGAGATCGTCGTAAGAGAACTCCGGGATGGACATTGGAGCACTCTGAAATAATATTAGGGACAAACAAAGGGAATCAAGATTAATTAATTAATGACATTGATTGAGTGTATTTGTATCTGTATCTTGGTGAAGTACCTGTACTCTACTACGTACTATGCAAGATAGTAAGATACCATACCTGTCAATACATGCCAATGCAATGTGATTTGTGCCCGGTCGTAAGCGTCAACGCTGGGACCAATGGGGGTGGCTGGTTATTTACGTCATGTACGGTATGTCCGACCGTTACACATCGGGATGACCGGGAGATAATCAGAAGAAAGATGGGGTAATGTACTCGAGGGCACGCAGTTTGTAGGCAGTAATTACTCGATAATAATACTAACACTTAGGGAAAAAAGAAAGAAGAAAAAAGAAAAAAAGAAATGCTGGAATCAATATACTGAATCTGTACGAAGCGTAATCGTATTACTGTACAATACACGCGGCGGGCAGTGCTAAACGAGGAGTGGTCGAACGCGGTACAAATGCCCCATCGCCCGCTCTCTCTTCCAACAGTTTTTCTTCCTCTGTTACTGCTTGTTGCCCCTCCATTTTTTCTTTCTTCTCGTTGGCGCGCAAGAGGAGGGTTTTTTACACCCATCAATCAGAGATTATCTTTCCTCCCCAAAGTCTGATTAATCCAATCATCGGGTTCTTTCGCTCGTGGTTGTTACGCACAGTGCAACGATTTCCACGGTTGGGATCGAATCAAATCACCACTTCACCACTTTTGTTGCAGTCACAGCAGCCTGTGTGTAAGTCCTACGTTTTCTTTTTCTTTTTCTTTTTTTTTTTTTTTGTCCATTTTATTTTGTATGTGCCCAATCATCGTGTGTTCCCCTTTCTCTATATCTTCCCTGAGCAAATCACCTTTGCGCATGCGGCTCTGGTCGCATTCCCCAGCCATTCAAGAGTCATCATCAATACTCTATACACACAGGCATCCAACCACATTGCTGGATCGCTTTGTATACTTCTGTCATCTCCCTGATCTGGTTGTCTACTGTGTTTGGCCCCCTGGTTATCTTTGATATCTTTCCCTCTACAAGTACGGAGTACTACTGTCTCTCTATCTCTATCAGTCTCTCTGTTTCCCTCTTTCTCTCTGTCTCTGTTCTCTTTATCCTTTCGCGGATCAACTCGGGCACCGGCAAATCCCGGCCGGCTGACATCACGGCCGCGCAGAGAGCCGCAGTGTGCTGTCTTCGGCGCCTCTTGTTTCTGCCTCCCACTCTCTATCACGATCCATCCAAACAAGGATTCTTTTCCCTGCTTGGTCTCAGGATCTTTTCTGTCTGGCTGCTTTTTTACCATATCTGCGATTCTCCAGATCGCGTTGGACTGGACTACTACCCCTCAGGTAATTCGTTGTTTTGTTTGTGTTCGGCCTTGGCTGCGGCCCGCGAACGCGACTGTGATTTGATTTGATGCTTTCCTTTCCCTGCTTCTTACCCACTGCTGCTGGCATACACAAGCGCTGCAACCAGGCGCTTGTCAGAACCGTTATTCTGCTGTTGTCCGAGTTTCATCGCGTGCTTGTCAGTTCTTAATTTTTATTTCTTTTTTTCCCTCCCCTGGTGGTGCCGGGACTGTATGGCCACTATCGCGTCGAGTCTTTTCAGCTGCAAACAAATGCCCAGTCATCACGCGTCACATTTTTGTTTACTTTTTTTTTTTTTTCCTTTCTATTGCATGCGCTCTTTTTAGCGCTTCCACTTTTTTATGACTCGCTTTCTGACTCTTCTCCGGAACTTTAGTCGCGCACCGTCTTCCCCGTCGCATTTTTGTTGCTAGCGCACGCGCGTGTGCGCAATACCACTACCAGGCTTGTGTGTCGGCGTTGTATGCGATCGACAAGGTATGTTGCCGGCTGCTGTATCTCTAATGCGCGCTTTTCTTTTGCCAACACATACACTCCCATCCTATCGGCCCTCGACGCCCTGACCCGCCCACAATAACAACCCACCCACCCCGCCGCACTGGTGATTGATAATATCTTCACCTATTATCCAATTGCCAGCGCATATCTGATTCACCAATCATCATTCATGCGCAAACAAGAAAAATAGATTACATGCTAATGCTCGTCTTCCTATAGTTTTGTGCAGGTATTTCCGACGCGCATCTTGACATCAATCGCTTGCGAATTGTATCCTCGACTCGGAACCGAGAATCAGGGTATCTTCATCTACCCCGGCTCTAGCCCCTCCTCGCATTCAGCCTGAACCGGACCAGGGTTCTGAACAACTACCCTGTTCAGTCCGCCAGTTGGAGAGAATAGATTGCGTAGTGCCGGCATTCGGTTTCCCGTGTCAGCTTGAAGGCCTCAGGCGCAGTTGACAACGCATCAAGTGCACTTATTCTCGAGGACACCCTAGTCCGCTGCATAAAAGCCCAACCACGTTACATTCAGAAGTGGGTATAAGCGAACAAGGGAAAATAGGATTTTGTCGGAAAAGACAAACTCCCCTCCCTCCGAAGACTGCTTTGAAGGTTCGAGTTCGTTTAATAAACGCGCATCTGTTTAATTTCCGAACGCGAAAAGGTTGAAGAGCTCAAAAGTCATAACAAAAGAAAAGAAAAAAAAAAAAAAAAAAAAGGTGAGTGCTATGACGCCCGACTATGCTACCCCACTCTCCCTCAATCCAGTGACCGGTCGGCGATGCGCTTTATGCTGACGCGATTCTGGGGCCTGCAGTATTTCGTAGTACCTCGTCGAATCATCACTCGCAGAAATCCCAAACATTGTGTTGGGTGACTATCTCCCGTCCACGCGCGACTTAACGATATCCTCAGTGTAACTGCACCAGCTTTTCTCACGTCCTATCAGTTATCTGGTGTTCATTTCCTGTTCCCCAGTTAAAAAGCGTCATTCCTGCGCGTTAACCCTGATTGGTCTTGGTGGTCGCGTTCCTGACCGTCCCATCTCCGCAAACACAAACAAGGAACCGGAAGCTTGACGGCGAACACCGTCGCGACTCGATGATGGAATATCCGCCACAGTATCAACAACCTCACGGACAACATCCTCAGGCCCCTTCGCATATGTCTGCCGCATACCAACCCGCACCCCAGAGCGCCGGCTCTGCCGTCGGCTCAATGACGTCGCCTACCAACGCCCAGGCGCACATGCCACAAGCTCACTCCGCGCATCAAGCCTCTCCCATCGTCCCGTCGCAATCGCACTACCAGCAGACGAACTTCCCGCAGCCATATGGGGTGACGGCCGCCATGCCTCAAACATATGGCATCTCGCCCACGCAGGCCGCAGCCATGGCCACCGCCGCGGCTTCCGGGCAATTCTACCCTCTACACCAAGACTCCATGAACCAAATGTCGCAAGGAGCCCGCGGATCTCCGCGCATGGGTGGGGTGCCTGTCAAGGGGGATCGGAATCCTCGCTCGCCGCCGCAGATGACGGGCCAGATGCCCCCAATGGCATCGCAAGTGCCCCTGTCGCAAAGCGCTCAGTTGCAGTCGCGTCGCATGAGCCATGTCGGAAGCCCACCGCAGCCGGTCCTCAACCATGTTCGACCGTCGGTAGCACCCTCGATGCCACCACCGCATCATGCTCCTGTGCAGCCAAGTCAACCTTCGCCGGAGTTGGTCAGTGGCGGGGCTGAAGAGTCGCCCCTTTACGTGAATGCGAAACAGTTCCATCGCATCTTGAAGCGGCGTGTTGCGAGGCAAAGACTGGAGGAGCAGCTGCGGCTCACATCCAAAGGCCGTAAGCCCTACCTCCATGAGTCTCGGCATAACCATGCCATGCGGCGGCCTCGTGGCCCCGGTGGTCGTTTTTTGACGGCCGATGAAGTGGCTGCAATGGAAAAGAAATCTGGCGATCCCGTTATATTGGGGCTAGAGAATGCCCAGACCAGTGCCGTCAAACCTGCCTCGTCCGCGGGCCATAAACGGAAATCCAGCGAAGTGAACGACGATGTGAATGTGCCCAAGAAAACGAGGACCGTTGCGCCAGCTCGGCCAAGTGCTGGCGTTGAAGAGAGTGAACCTGATTCGGCCGATGCGTCGGATGACGATGGATGATCTCGGTCACTTTCCTGGACCTCCATACCATGGTCTAAGCTTCATATCTTTCTTCGCCTTCTTCGTATCTACTTTTTTTTATCTTTTCTTCTCCCCCTCTTGTCTTTTTATCTTCACGGCTTTTACGGATGGATGTCTGGAATTCCCCCCTTTTTATTTTCCTAGCGAGCGATATATGACCATTGGTCTCTATCACTGCCTTGTTGATTACCTTGATTTTGTTTTGTTTATGCTTGTTTATATCCTTACGCTGAGACGACGGTTTTTTTTTTTTTTCTTTCTTCTTTTCTTTCATGTTGGCATCCCTCTGCCCAAATTCCCTGATGATGCTTTCGTCCCATTAGGATTGCATTATATGAGACGATTTTATGCTTCTTTCCCCACACCTTTTCTTCTTTGGCATATACTGGCCCACGTGTGGATGCCAGCATGATGCGATGTTCTTCTTTTATTCCATTCTTTTCTTCTGCTACGTGATTTCCGAATTTATGGCTGGGTTTTACAGGGACGAAAATATTGCTGGGAAATTGCAATGGAGGAATGGCTACGAGCGATACAGTACTGGTGAATATCTTGTAACTTGACATGCAACGGACATATGTGATGTTTTTTTGCGTATTGTGTTTGACTTGCTGTACAGAGAGATATCTATACTCCGTGATTCATAAAAGCATACAGAGTACAGAGTACAACTCATGATATTACTTATATGTAGTAGTCCCGTGACCTCCGGATGTACCACGCTATTCCTGTTTAGGACTAGCAGCGGCTCTCCAGCAGCTCCATTCTTCCTGCTCTCCGTGTTTCTTTCTCTTCTCTCTCTCTCTCTCTCTCTCTCTCTCTCTCTGTCTGGTCTCTCATCCATCGCCATCCACCAGCTCTTCCTTTTTTGCCCGGGTTGAACTGTGTTTTTCTCATCTCCAGGTCCCTTGGACTCGCTTCTATTCGTTTATTCTCAGGCTTCTTGTAGGTCGCCTACCTTGCATCATTCTCTTTCTCTTATCAACTCCAGTCAAGATTGCCCTTGTTTCTCATCTTCCTTTCCCCTGCTTTTCTCTTCATTGTTATTCTCATCTTGAAAGAAAGATAGAAGAAAAAAGAGATCATATCTCATCAAAATCATTTCCTTATTTCAATTGATCGTCGCGCCATCTTGACTCGAGAGACATTGCGTGGCATTGGCGCTACATTTTCTGCTTCTTTGCTACTCCTTCCTATTTTTTCATTTTTTTTTTTTTTTTCTTTCTCAATTATAGACGCTGCTTTCGTGCAGTGTACTATTTTATTGTCTTTATCAATTCTTTTTTGTCATTCTGTCGATATCATTATGTCTTCTCTTCTTTTTGGCCGCCCTGCGGACTCTTGCTCAGCACCATCCCCGTTCCCGTCATCCTTCCGTCAACGCCCTCGCACCCAGCCACTCCATCAATTTGAATTAAAGACCAGCTCTAACGTTGACAATGTCGATTCTTAGCTTTCTTACAGTTTTAACAACTTGCGACGGCTTTCCCGGTTGTTTCCGCTTCGCGTTGGGTCACGACACCCCCTTTTCTCCCAACCCTGAAACCGCCGCTGGTTGAATATCCACCGTATCATTTTCTCGGTTGAAACGCCGAGTGATTTGTTCCTGCTCGAAAATGGATTCCTACGATGGTTATGGGTCTCCCGGAAGGTCCCGGGATGGCGATGCCTATTTGTCTAGAGCACCTGTGGACTCGTACAGACGCAGATCTCCTGGTACAACAGCGCAGTTTTATGATTATTCGCTACGAGGATGACTTTCTGACTCTTATGCAGGTTCGCAGGACCGTCGTGGGCGCGGACGAGGTCGTTCCCGGTCGCCTATTATGATTGACCGCTACGAACCCGCCGACCGCCGGCCCTCTCGAGATGGCTACTACGCCTCATCACGTGAACAAGCCACGCGTGAACGCGAAGACCGCCGTCGTGCTCCTTCTCCGAATGTCGCCAATATCGATCGCTATGTCCCAGGCCAAGATTCGGGCAAGCGGCCACTTCCCGCGAATCCCCTTCCGAACCCGCTCAATCTCGATTTTCAGGTGGGCTTCAACTGGTTCGCAGAATGGTGGCGAGCCGAACAATCCGTCAAGGAGGAGAAAGAGCGAGCTAGACATGGTGGCCGTCGTCCGTCGGATCGCGTCAAGGGTGAACGTGAAGCGCGCGAAGACCGAGAGAAGGAGAGAGCGCAGATCCAGGCCGGTTACGACTCATACAAGCTGGAGCTCCAAGTTAAGATGGCACGGGCTTTCGTTCAACAGCACCGGTCCGAGGAGTGGTTCAAGGAGCGTTATGTGCCCGAAGTACGGGATCCTCTTCGCCGACACATCATGGATTTCCGGTACAACGCTCTTCAGCAGTGGGAGCGCGACATTGAGGGTGGAGTGTTCGATGAGTTCACGCTGGAAGGGATCTACAAAAACGAGAGCGATGGTGCAGGAGGCGTGATTGAGAAAGAGGAGGGTGAAACGACGGCTGTTGGCGAAACTCTCGGGGTGTTGGATTTGCTTCCGGCCAGGGGTGGAGATCTGCGTGACGAGGCTCTGTCGCAACCCGCCTTGCTCATCAAAACGCTGGCACCCAATGTTAGCAGGGAAAAGATTGAGGAGTTCTGCAAGGAACACCTGGGTGAGCAAGATGGTGGGTTCAAGTGGCTGAGTCTCAGCGACCCCAATCCATCCAAGAAGTACCATCGCATGGGATGGATTATGCTCCATCCGGCTTCTGAAGTTACTGTGGTGGAACGCGACGATGGACGAGGTGAAGAAGGCGAGGAAATGGACCAGGATAGTACAGGCAATGGTACGGTTACGGTCAATGCGGCCGAGAAGGCACTAGAAGCCATCAACGACAAGACCATCCATGATCCGGAACACGGAGACTTTGTCTGCCACGTAGGTGTGCATGTGCCGCCTGCCCAGCCCCGCAAAAAGGCCTTGTGGGACCTATTCTCGTCCCCTGAGCGCGTTGAAAGGGACCTGGAACTGGCCCGCCGATTGACAGCGAAACTTGATACGGAGATGGGTGGCAACGTCGACGGTTATGCCAGGATTGAAGAGCGAGTCGAAGAGATACGCGGAAAAGGCTGGCTGCAGCCCCCGGTGACCGGCCCGGTTAGCGTCAAGAAGCGCAAGTCAGATATGGACGATGAGGATATGGATGAGGGTGAGGCTGAGGAAGGGGAGGAACAAGAAGGATGGGATGACGAGGTTGATGACGAGGAGCTGTTGGCCAAGAAGAAGAAATTGGACATGTTGGTCGAATATCTCCGCCGGGTTTATAATTTCTGCTTCTTTTGCGTGTTTGAGAGCGACTCGGTGCACGAGATGGTTCGCAAATGCCCCGGAGGCCACCTTCGTCGTCCCCGGACTGGTCTCACCAGCCAATCCAAAGACGTTGCTCGGGCTAGCGCCTTGGGCGGACCGTTCCCCATCAGAAAGAAGGAGCCTAGCGAGGAGGGAGAGGAAAGAGCGCCGTCAGACGAAAAGCGCCAGCAGAAGCTCAGCAAGTCGGAGCAGCAGCTCCAGCGTGCATTCAACTGGGTTAGGACTTTCGAAGAGAAGCTCTTGCAAATCCTCGAACCCGAAAATGTCGACCTGCAAAAACTAGGAGGCAAGCATGTGGAGGAGGCGCTCGAGGAGGAATTGTCGAAATACTTAAAGCAAGAGGATGAATCAAAGTACCGTTGCAAGGTCCCTGAATGTGCGAAGCTGTTCAAAGCGGACCATTTCTGGCGCAAGCATGTCGAAAAGCGCCATACAGAATGGTATGAGACCATTCAGAGTGATGTACGTTTTCCACCTACATATTTGACACGAGTTCTATAACTAACTGCAACAGCTTTCGTTGGTGAACTCATACGTCCTCGATCCAGCTCGGATTGCGCCCTCACGGTCCGATGCTACCAGCAACGGACATTTCCCTCTCAACTCACACCAGAACCAGGCCGGCACGCCTCGCGGATTTAGTCTGTCGAGCATGCCATACAACGGACCGATTCCGGCGGGCTTCCAAGGAGTGCCTCCAGGAGGTATGCCAGGGTTTATGATGAACCAACCAGGCCCCTGGGCAGGCAACGGGATGGTTGCCGGAGATCACCCTGGACTGCATCAACCCGGCGTGATGCGTCGAGGCAACCGGTACAACAATAACCGGTCTTCTGGACCATACGACCGACGCGGCCGTTACAATGCAGCGGGTAGCGGACGCTTGAGTCCTGTGCAAGGCATGTACAGACCCGGCGGCCGCATGCCGGCCAACGCAGGCGCGGCGTTTATTCCCCCTGGCCATCCGGCAGCTGCGATGGTTCCGGGCGGATTCCCTGATGCCGGTTCACCACAGGGCATGGGACCACGAGAGGCCGTGCAAGGACGAAGCCTGAAGAGCTATGAAGATTTGGATGCTGTTGGTGGTGCCGGGGGTGGTGAGCTGAACTACTAATCTTGTTTCATTTCACCGGCGTCGGCTGGCTTATTCTTTCTTTCTCATTTCCTTTTCTTTTCGGTGACATTAATATTCTTTAAAATCTTGGCCATGTGATACAACGTGGTTATTGCATTTGCATACAGCAATATTTTCTTTTTTTTTTTTTTTTTTTTTTTGTCTGCGAGGTGTATTATAGTTAAGAGTGATAGTAGTTCAATCTAGCTGGTATGAGATATCATGTCTATTGTAGAGTGTCAGTGTCTAGAACGCCGTGATGAATAACACGGTCTGGACTGGCCCTGATAGAGTCAATTAAAGCAACATTCACACCGGAACATCCGTCTAAATCCTTCTTAACCCAAATAATCCTCCTACACATACTGTAAAACCCCGTTATAAGCAACTATTTCGGCAGGTCGCGGAAATTGCTTATAACGGAGTATTGCTTATATCGGATTATACGAGCTTGCTGCCATAAATATATATATAGACGTCATCTAATTACAAAAGAAGTCTCGTATATCACTCTGCTGCTGTCTGCTAACCTTCTTTCTCAAAAGGGTCCTCTCATGGAAGAGAAGTTGCTGGATTAAGGCCTTATTTCCATCCACCTGCTGCTCCTCGAAAAGCCGGAGTTTATATAGACTCTCCAAAGCATCTGTTATAGATATCTGTGGAAGAGACTCATAGTTTTCTTCCTCTTCCTC